GTCGCGCCCTACAGTTTACGAGGACGCACGGTGCGATTCGGTGGAGGCGAGGCAACGATCTCCTCTACGAAAAGGAAAAGCTCGGTTCGGGCGTGTTCGCTCGATATTCAGGCTAATGATATTCGCTTGGTGTATCGCTTCGAACTAGTCACGCGAGCCGAGGGACAAAGAGATCGACTCTGATTTTCCTCGAAATGCCGCTGACGCCACCCCTTTCTTTGTCATTCCCCTAATGAAAGTTGTCGCGCCACATCGGCCAACCGCTAAGAAACTTTATTAACGCGTGTCACAGATACCGCACAATTCTCTGTCTTCTTCGCTCTTCCATAGTTTCTTCCGCTAGATCGTCTCGTTGAAATGCTCGGAAGAGAGGAAACTGCTCGATATTGGCCAGGCGGGAAAGGTGGAAAAAGAGAAAGAGAATCCCTCTTTTAATAAGGATGCGACGATCCGTTAATGCGGTCCGCTAAGAGGCGATAAGAAGATTCTCGGGAGCAACGCCGCGCCGTGGTAAGGTTCCTCGCCGATGCAGGATCAGCGCGACGATGTTCGAATTGCAATTCCATCGGGTTTCCGTTTCACCACGCTTCCGTCGACGGATTGCTTTAGCGGCAAGGAAATATCGTTTCCTTTTCTATCTAGACAGTCTGTTATCGTGGAACGCTCCAAGTTTCACCCGAACCATATCGATCCGCTTTAATCGAAGGGAACCTCTCCGGATTCTACTACCCCCGAACAATTACCATTCTGACCGTTTCTTTCTTCCTTTCTTCTTCTTCCTCTTCCTCTTCCTCTTTTCGAGCGTACTAGTTGTTTGCCAATGGCCGCTTACGCTGGAAAATAACATTTCCCATCAGAGATGGGAGTTCATTCAGGGTGAAAAATCGAACGGTTTTAACTCGCAACTCGCTTTTGATCGTCGAAGAAAGGATGGATGCCCGTCTATCTATCTACTGAATAATAGGAGGATGAAGGAAAACAGCGATCGAGCATCGAGGGAAAGGCCGAGTGTACATATTCTTTCTTTTCTCTCTCCGTAGATCGACGTTAAATCAGACGTATGAGTATCGAGCGCGCGTTTTGACCGAGTGGCAAGGGCATCATCCACTTGGCATGTCGTCGATGTGTTACAAGTGTCTCTTTCAGGGGAGAAACGTCAATTCTGCAGATTCGCGGTTTGGATATCATCCCGAATGCTTCTCGGCTTCGTGACCTAGAGTGTACCAACTATTTTTAAAGCCCTCTTTCGACCGGCACCCACGATTCTTTCTCTTCGGTTCCCTCTCTGTTTGCCTGCCTTCCCACCGGGGCTAGTTTTTACGCGCGGAAGAATCGGGAACGGCGCGGACAATTCGAGTTTCTGCTATTTTAAACGATAGATAAGAGGAGTTGGACGATCCTGACGGGTGCCCGGACATGGCGGCATGTCAATAAAACGACCCTGTCCCGTCCGAACGCCGATAGATGGAAAAGATTTCGCGTTCCTCGCATACCGTACAACAACCGAATAATAATCGACTCCTAATATTCTCCTCTTAATATTCACATTCGATCAGTTTCGATATTGTTACGCGGCGGCGGCGGCGGCGGCGGCGAATGGGAATGAAATTCAACCGAGCGTGCTCCGTCAATTTAACAGAGATCGACCGATCTGTATCCGTGTTCTCCCTTATCCGAGTTTAGTGTCGCTCGCAAGCGTAGACGTAGATTTTTCGAGAAATCACTCTCTCTGGCGAATTTCTCGAGACGAGAAACCGCAACATTTTCCTCCCACGTTCCGAGCGTTAAAGTCCAAGTAAGAAGCTGATCTCGTCCGCAGATTTCGATGCATCATTTATCTGAAAAGGGGCAGGGAGTAAGGAGGACGGGGTTACATATTTCACGAAGTCGAGGAACGACTTTGTGACGCTAAAATACGTTAAAGTCCAAGTAAGAAGCTGATCTCGTCCGCAGATTTCGATGCATCATTTATCTGAAAAGGGGCCGGGAGTAAGGAGGACGGGGTTACATATTTCACGAAGTCGAGGAACGACTTTGTGACGCTAAAATATTGATATCAGCCTGGAAAACTCGGCCCGAGTTAACGGACAATAGAATTACGTAGGACGCATTGCGCCGGAAACGATGCTCCTCCATCTCGTCCCTCCTCCCCTCTCCCTTCCGTCCCCTATTCTCCCTTTTATAAAGTCCCCCACATTCTCTTTATTTTTTCCACCTTTCGC